TAATTCCTCTAACTTTGGTTTTACATTTATTATTGATGAAAATGACACTGATTACAACGTTTTCCTATTACATTTAAATTCAATTATTACGTCGCCTGCCAAGGGCGACATAAAGGCATTGCTTTGTCAGCGGCGATGTCGTCGTCGTCGTCCGCACGAAGGTATTTTCGCGATAACTTGAGTACACTTTGGCCGATCAAGCTCAGACTTCATGCAGTCCTAATCAAAGGGACGTGCTTTATATTGCTTCACAGGTCCGAAGGTCGAATGTCAAGGTAACTGGTACTATAAATTAGAATTTTTTTTGGTGATAACTTCAGTTCCCTTCGGTCGATCAACTTCAAACTGCAGTGCTTCCTTACCAAAAGTGCTTCCTTGGGATTACTTTTTAGATTTGAAGGTCAAAGGTCAAGGACAGTGTTACCATATATAGGGGATTTGTTTCCATGCGATAACTTGAGTTAATGATTGACGAGTTGTCGATTACATTCAAACTTCATGCAGTACTTCCCTACCAAAAGGGCCTGCTTAGGATTGCTTTTCAGGTTTGAAATTCAAAGTTCAAGATCACTGTTACTATAAATAGAAATTTTGTTTTCTTACAATAACCTTTCCTAAGTACTTGCTTGAGATTGCTTTTCAGGTCATCAGGTCAAATGTCAAGGTCATTGTAGCTATAAAATCGGTTTTGGATGATTACTTGAGTATTCTTTAGGCTCAAACTTCATACTACACCTTTTATCTAAAGGGGCTTGTGTAACAATGTTATTCAGGTAGAGGGTATGTCCCTGTTCCTACCGTATTTGGGGCTAAACAGAGTATATAAATGGAATAAATACAATGAATAGCTATGGCTGTTGTTCCACAAAACTCATTTTTAGAAACCTTTGCTGGGCAGGCGACACACCCACTTGCGTGGAATTCTTGTGTCTGTTATCGGCAAAACCGACACTAGAGTCCTGATGACAATTCCTGGTTTGTTCCTGGTTTGGACTGACCCGAATGATCATCATCAAATTTCTGTAAACTACGTCTCGGTAGGTTGAGGATAGATAATTAAACTTCTCTCCGTCGTTTCTTCCCAAATTTTATTCCATTTCTCTTCTCTTTTCAAAATACACATATACATGTAACAAATTTTGTATCATAGAAAAGAATTATGTTGCAGATATATAAGATTTTTGTGCAATATAATGTTTTGTAAAAGGCGTTTCGAAGCTGCGAAAACTTGTATCTAATTCCATTTATGGATTGAACAAACATTGTTTAAATATGAAAAAAAAATAGACTACTATACCCTAATATATGTTTAAGAAAACAAAGTTACTCGATAGACTGCAAGATTTTGGTTTCTATGAGAAAAATAGAGGTATTTTATGACGTAAATGCGCGTGTAGTATAAAACATGGGACTCGTGTAAATGTGAGTCAAACCGAACAAAGTCTCGTTCTCTAGACGAGATCCCGTACGTGAGAATGAAACCTTACATGAACGTGTACGTTCCTGTTGTTACAAAGATAACAAACACTTATACCTCTGTATTCAAAACAGAAATAAAAACAAAGAAACCTTAAAATAAAAAGGCCAGCCCAACCCCCACCCCCAACAATTTGAAATATGTGTTTTATAAGCAATTCTAGAATTAAAGAAAGACTATGTATGGTTTGGCTTGTGAGGTTAAATCCCGTCTTCTTGTATTTTGTTGGTATTTCAAGATTCGAAGAGAGATAACTCGTTGAACGTTTCACACACCTACCTGACGGAGAACTAAAAATCATATTATAACAGTGTTGTCCGGTTAGGAGAAACTGACTGACACGAAATCACATACTTCTCTCTCTCCCTGCTCTGTGTGTGTGTGTTTGCACAAGTGCGTGCACATTGCGTACATAAATATATACAAACACAGTAAAAAGGGAAAAAGGGACAGCTCACGTACCTCTATTAACTGATTAAAATAGTGAATTCACTTAAAATCTATTAGTATCTCTGTTACAAAATTAATGTCATACGTTGGTACAACTTCATTTCTTCATAATTATTCACTGGAAATTTAATTGCGATTTCCAGCCAGAATTACCTAAGAATTCATAAATAATAGAAATGTATTTACACATTACAAAGCAACTCCTTCACTCGCTATTTGATAATGTACACAACATCAATAAGTCTCCATTTGTGATATTACATGCTATTTTATAATAAATTATTGCGTTGTACAGCGTCGATCTTGTCTTCGATCACCAGCTGTTTCTCTTGTATATAAACTTCACCTCTGACAACTTACAGTTTACAGATAAATACATATAAGTCATTTCCCACTTGTAACCACACAGTGTCACAAATACAAAGTACTTGAGCAACACAAGGGAAACAACTCCTGCACATCTAAATTTGTTATTTTTTAAAATTCCTATCATAATATATGCAAAATATATATGACAAGTTTTCTCCTTCTTATATGCTGATCGTACTTCCGTGTCTGCTTTATCAGCACTTTATCTTTGGAAACTTTCAATAATAATGAGAATGAAGAGATAGAAATTTAGCAGAATAATGATACATGGAGTATCTTAACTTATCATAAACACTGAGAAATGGTAATACAAAATTTCATTGTTCAGTGAAAATATGTCATTTTCTAGACGCGAACTTTAAAAGGACATATTACATCAACATATTTTGTACAAATATATTGAAACAAGAAGTAACACTTCGTTAGACTTTAAACAGAGATATACTTATTTTTATTTCCACTCCGAATAAGAAAAATAAGTCTTACCACTATCTTATTTTCTATTTCAAACCGTAACTAACTAAATTGACCATCTCCTTACCTTTAATCCTACTTCATTTACTAAATAAAGCGACAGGTGGATGGTTCTTGTTGCGATCTTTGCAAGACCATTTCATTATAAGAATATTTGCTGAAGACTAAAGAAATTGTTTTAAAAATCAGGTTTGTTTCATCCATTATTACGCTGAATCATTTACCCCAAAAATCACAATCACAAAAAACGGTATATTGACAAGGTTTAAGTTTTATTAACTCCTGCACACGAGATTTAAAGAAGGGAAATAACTCTGCCTTGATCGCTATAGATCATATGTGCACCATTACATATTTGGCTTATTGTTGCTTTAAGTCTTATTAACAGACCAACCAACTGATTTCTGTGTTAATGTTCTGTGTTATCTTATTAAAACCGTTTAATTAAATTTGGCCATTAGGATCTATAACACATGTTCAGGATCTCATATCCTACTTAACAAAAAACAAAACAAAGTGTGTGTTGGGGGGGGGGGGGATGGGGGAGATCCTTCAGGGGAACAGGGGAAACAGGGGGGGAGGCAATTTTGAAACAGTATGAATTCTGCACTGATTAATGCTATGAACTTGAATTTTTAACAAAAACTCAATTTAGACTTACAATATTGATTTCAACATTATCTATGAATAATTATGGACGTGCAATGTTTAAATGGTGGAGGAAAGCCAGAGTTTCCGCAGAAATCCTGTCCATCTGCGGCCAGTGCCTGACGACTGCCCTCACGGAGGCCTCAAACCCGCGTCCCCGAGGTGGAGGGCTAGACGCAGTAACCACCTAGCCATCGCGATGCTTTGTACAGTTGTGTCTACTGTTTATGTACATGGGATTCGTATTAACAATAGTACCTTCGAAACTGAAGAGTACAAACTATACCTTATCTGTGTTGAAATATATATGTTTTTTCTATAAGCATACAATTTGTATAGATATGTTTTCAATCTTTAAGGAATCCAATCACCTGCATGATTATTCTTCATTAAATTGATTGATTATCGTCCCCGCTCACATATCCCGTCTATAAGAACACTGGTTATAATTCGTACTTACCTTCGTGCATAAACAGTTTAAAATATATAATTTCCTTCATACTAAATTATTATCGTTCCAGTCAACAGCCAAGTTAAAAAAAATAGATTACTTTGACACTAACTCGCTATCGTTTTTGTTAACACATAGAGTTATAATATTGAATTTTCTTTATATTATTTATCAATCCTGTTTACATATCCAGTCAATATGAAGATATTTCCTTGGCACTACCTGGCTATCGTTCGTATTTACATATCCAGTCAGTAAGAAGATATTTCCTTGGCACTACCTGGCTATCGTTCGTATTTACATATCCAGTCAATAAGAAGATATTTCCTTGACACTACATGGCTATCGTTCGTATTTACATATCCAGTCAGTAAGAAGATATTTCCTTGGCACTACCTGGCTATCGTTCGTATTTACATATCCAGTCAGTAAGAAGATATTTCCTTGACACTACCTGGCTATCGTTCGTATTTACATATCCAGTCAGTAAGAAGATATTTCCTTGGCACTACCAGGCTATCGTTCGTATTTACATATCCAGTCAGTAAGAAAATATTTCCTTGGCACTACCTGGCTATCGTTCGTATTTACATATCCAGTCAATAAGAAGATATTTCCTTGACACTACCTGGCTATCGTTCGTATTTACATATCCAGTCAGTAAGAAGATATTTCCTTGGCACTACCTGGCTATCGTTCGTATTTACATATCCAGTCAGTAAGAAGATATTTCCTTGGCACTACATGGCTATCGTTCGTATTTACATATCCAGTCAGTAAGAAGATATTTCCTTGACACTACCTGGCTATCGTTCGTATTTACATATCCAGTCAGTAAGAAGATATTTCCTTGGCACTACCTGGCTATCGTTCGTATTTAAATATCCAGTCAATAAGAAAATATTCTAGAGTTTGGGCAGAAAATACACGTATCCGGACAGGTTCCTATACTATAAGTAAATGGAACATGACTTAGTGATTTTGCATTTACTGAAAAGCGATTACACTAAACACCAGAACATTATTCCAGAGAGTCGAGAAGGCGCAGCGCAAAGAAAACCAGTTATTGATAAATTATCTGACATTTGAATAAGTATTATTAGAGACATATGTTGTTATTTAAACGTATACGTGTATGTCTCCACTTCGCCGTTATTGTAGCCCACCCATAACTTGTGCGTGGCACTATCCTGCAGCATTCCCACAGCCTGCGGTACTTTTTCACTATGACTGGTGATCAATGTTTGAATGAAATGTCCTTCTTTGTCCAGTAAGATCACGCTACATGTTCCACAATCAGCAATCAATATGTTCTCGTCCCTATCAAAAGTAACGCCTTGTGGGTCGAAATCTTCATCGGTTTGTTGCCCGCTATACTTAAACTTCAAACTGAGCTTCTCATCACATACATACAGACACCCAGGGTCATTGTCGAGAAAGGCCAGGTCACCCGTGTCGACATTCACACGAACAGAATTCGGTGACCTCAACTGCATTTCCGATTCATTTCCGTACACGAAAGATTTCCTATTCCCGCGGATATCCAACTTCAACGGTTTCTCCTGTCCATTGGAGACAACCACAATGTCATTGTCAGCCGTTAAAGCGATGCTTTGTGGTTCTGACGGAGTTTGGAATAGTTCTACTTCGGTCTGTTGACCGCCGCATACGTTTACTTGCTTGATAGTGTTGTCCTCACATGCTACCACGGGACAAGTCAAATCATTACTCAGTGTTATGTAGCAGAAGTCATATACACCACATTCCAGTTCAACAGTTTGGAGGAGCGTTCCTTCAAATGTGTGGAGAAATAGTTTGCATTCATCGCCACCGACCCAGGCCGCATCTCCCTCCATCACTGGACACAATCGGTACACTGCATCTTTCTCAACAGTATCAAACGTTGACCGCAATTTCAAATTGACCGATGGGCATTTCTATGTGTCGATTTTAAGTTTCCCAAACAAATGTTGAAGTGCTTTTATATCATTCGAAGGAGAGGGATATTGAAATGTTCTACTTCCAATCGAAGTCACTTCATTTTCTTCTAAAAGACATTTCTCCAATTCTGTCGCTAAATCTAAAGATTTTCTGATATCAGTATACTTGCGTGAGCTTGCTAATTTTTTACATTCGTCGGCTTTTTCTTTAAGTTTGTCTTTCGTTTTTGTCCGATTTTCAAGATTTTTTGTTAACTGCCGTTCATTTTCGCTTTGGTATTTTCTCGTTTTTTTCTTTCCGTCTTCAATAATATCATCTATATGAGATTTCAAAATTCTTCCTCGTTCTTCTATATGTGCCACTGTCACGTCAGACTCTGAATCATTCATCTTTATCATTTTTTCCACATCCTTAATGTCAACATCTAACTGTCCCAACCGTTCATCAGTGTCATTAACAAGCCTCAACACTTCTTGTTTTTGAAGATTGACGTATACTTGCAAATCTTCCATGTGGTGACCATTATGAGCTTGTAAAATGCACTTACTACATATGAAATCGCCGCCACACGTTTTACAAGAAAACACCACAGATTGGTTGTGATCAGTGCAAGTCTCTGACGAAAGGTCTACCTTTAAATTCAGTGCTACTTGTCCTCTACGCGTAGCCATGGTACTGCAATTCTGTCAGAAGAAGTGGAAACTCGTGTTAATACAAAAAATAATTTTTACAAATACCGACATATTATTACGAAGATCATTAAAACCAACATGCTAAAAATCCTAAACACGATGGCACGGCATGGTAGCCTTACTCAATAGCATGCTAAATCTGTGAATTCTTCAATGCATTGGCTGCCTGACATCCAGGATGATAAATGTACAATTCCTTAATATTTACAAGAACTTGTTGCCTTCTATTCGTTATTATCACACTCCCCTATATAGATTTATAGGAATTCATTTTTTGGAGAGGTAAATAGCCATATTGTGGATGTTTGGTTTTCTGTGTTTATCGCCCCGTGAACAACAAGGGTCATTTTGAGACGAGCCCTCCTTTTAGTAGCTGGTGGCTATATAACTGAAAAGCATACGGGAGACACGGAGAACAATTTGCGTAACGTGTCTTGGGCAAGGACACAACCGCGACAGCAGAGATCTGGCCATTTTCAGCTCCTTGGGAAACACATACCGCCATGGTTAGGGAGCGTTGGACCACGTGCCTCGCATCTTCATTCAAGGTCACTTAAGTCAACGGTCTAACCGACTGGGATATCACAGCCCCTTCACCTTATGGAACACCTTACCAAACAGAAATTCTAACAATATGTATATGTACTGTATCCACATATGTAAATGTACTGCACCACATATATATATATATATATATACTGCCCACATATATATGTGTACTGACTCCACATATGTAAATGTACTGCACCACACATATATATATGTACTGCCCACATATATATATGTTCTGCCCACATATGTATATGTACTGCCCACATATATATATGTTCTGCCCACATATGTATATGTACTGCCCACATATATATATGTTCTGCCCACATATGTATATGTACTGCCCACATATGTATATGTACTGCCCACATATATATATATATGTTCTGCCAACATATAAATATGTACTCCCCACATATATATATGTACTGACTCCACATATATATATGTTCTGCCCACATATATAAATGTACTGCCCACAAATATATATGTACTGACTCCACATATGTAAATGTACTGCACCACATATATATATATTTACTGACTCCACATATGTATATGTACTGACTCAACATATGTATATGTACTGACTCCACATATGTAAATGTACTGCATATGTATATGTACTGACTCCACATATTTATATGTACTGCCCACATATATATATGTTCTGACTCCACATTTATATATGTACTGCCCACATATATATATTTACTGACTCCACATATGTATATGTACTGACTCTACATATGTATATGTACTGCCCACATATAAAATATATGTTCTGCCCACATATGTATATGTACTGCCCACACATATATATATATATGTTCTGCCAACATATATATATGTTCTGCCAACATATAAATATGTACTACCCACATATATATATATTTACTGACTCCACATATGTATATGTAATGCCCACATATATATATGTGGTCTGCCCAAATATTTATATGTACTGCACATGTATATGTACTGCCCACATATATATATGGTCTGCCCACATATATATATCTACTGCCCACATATTTATATGTTCTGACTCCACATTTATATATGTACTGACTCCACATATGTATATGTACTGACTCCACATATGTATATGTACTGACTCCACATATGTAAATGTACTGCACCACATATATATATATGTACTGCCCACATATATATATACTGACTCTACATATGTATATGTACTGACTCCACATATGTATATGTACTGACTCCACATATGTAAATGTACTGCACCATATATATATATATATATGTACTGCCCACATATGTATATGTACTGACTCCACATATATAAATGTACTGACTCCACATATATATATGTACTACCCACATATGTATATGTTCTGCCCACATATGTATATGTTCTGCCCACATATGTATATGTACTGACTCCACATATATATATGTACTACCCACATATGTATATGTTCTGCCCACATATATATATGTACTGACTCCACATATATAAATGTACTGACTCCACATATGTATATTTACTGACTCCACATATATATATATATGTACTGACTCCACATATGTATATGTTCTGCCCACATATATATATTTACTGACTCCACATATATATATTTACTGACTCCACATATATATATGTACTGACTCCACATATGTAAATGTACTGCACCACATATATATATTTACTGACTCCACATATGTATATGTACTCTTCTTAACAAGCGAGATAATCATATAGAATCAGACGGAAATATGTGAAAGAATAAAAGATCTATGGGATCATCAACATCTGCTCCGGAAGGGTAAGCGTCTTCTGTTTCATGTAAATTCTTGTAAATCCTAGAAATTTCATATTCTCAAAATAACAGCAAGGCATACCAGCGAGCACCGGCAAAGTCCCCATGAAAGCTTGTCAACCATAAAACTGTCTTAGTTACTTCATGTATCGTTTAAGATCTTTCGCGGAAGCTTTGAAATTGAGAATAAGGATTTAAATATTGCAGGAAGCAGCCTGCGACATTTCTGTTTCATCTGGCAGACATATTCGCATGAACAATTAGGTCTATATCATAAGCATTCCATAAATGAGTTTATTGTTTTAACAAATTAAATACAGAATCAGAACTCAGTTTGTATTTGACTTCTAGATTGTGTCTAACTATATATATATATGGGCACGTATATATATATATTCAAGATACAACTTCAATTAATTCTGCAGGCTCTGTAACAGAATATATTGACACCAATGCTATGTTATGCATTCAACAGTCGCGTTATGGCATTTATAATCTTTGTGAACGACAAAGCATTCTTTGCCAAGCTCTATAGCTCTGTCATTAAAGAAATACCATACCGCGTCCGTTAAATATTCTGTCAGAAAATCGGAAGTATTAATTAAAAATTATGTTTAAAGCTGATAATTCTGTCGATGATAACGGGATTAAAGTTGTATTGTTTTGATCATAAAATAACTTTGATAAATGAAAAATTATCGTGTTTTGATCTTCATGTACGTAATATTCAGTGTACCATATACAGACTGATTTTAAGGATAATGATACGGTGTTGCTGCCAGTAGCGATAATACCTCGTCCTTATCAGGAAACACCATTGTTGAGTTGTATTTGGTTAAAGACATTCAGAACAACCAGGTCGTTACCAGTGTCTAACACAGCGATACAATCTACCCGGATTTTACCTGGATAACTGAGCTGTAGAGTTTTTTTCTTTTTAATCTGAACTCAAACAACGTTTTTTGAATGCAAATGTATTGATCAATATAGGTGTACGAATACACCCGCAGTGCGTCGTTACAGTAAAAGTATGAGCGGAACTATACAAAACACACAGTAAATGAGTAGTTAGTTTACTTCATGTACACAAACTTTAAAAGTACATGTATAAATGCACATTGGTAAACATGACAGAAGTCTGAGGCAGGTGGCCACTTGTAACAAGTCCAGACATGACCAAGTATGAAATACCATTTTCAGTTTTGAATAATCGGTATATTATTCATTACATATAAAATGCACGTGTTTTTATTAGATATTAACAAATATATCACGATTATAAACTAAAAGGCGGACTATTCTTTAATAGGACATTTTCAACAATACCCAAGAACAGCGAATCAACATCATACATACACATGTATCTACTGTGCCTTTTCCGCTTTATCAAGTATTTTCACAACTGTTGAAAAAATGCATTATTTACTTGTAATTACAAATTACGATTTTTTACCTGTTTCCTCCTGACAGTAGTGGAATCGATCGCCACACAATTTTCTACTTCTTTCTTAGTATACGTCGGTTGGTAAAGACAGGTAGGTTGATATGTATGTACACAGGTACATGCCCCTATACGTAACTGTCATTATACACACTGCAGTAGATAGACCTAACTACGACTCGTGCCTACTGCGCATATCACGCAAAGAATAAAGTGACGGGTATCATGTTTCGGGGTAACCAGTTAACAATGCCGATAGCAAGAAGAGGGTGTAATATAGAACAGTTAACGATTATTCAATCAAATCAAGATATATTATTGCATAGCCTTGAATGCCCTTGCTTAGATTAGACACAAAATGTGTTTTATAAATATGGTTTAATGTTGTAATTCATATATATTATTATGTTATCAATATCTTCACTGTATGTGAGCAATTTTCTTTCGACTTCATGTGACAGACATTTGAAAACAAACAATTCTATCAACGTTGGCAATTTCACTCTTATACATGCACTCAAGCGGAAATCTAGCGGATTTCAATAACCAAATATATAACTCATAGCAAGGATAATTGCTAAAAGGTGACACCACAAGATCCGGGATTCCAGTTCACAGATGTTAACACTAAACCAGAGATTTCATTTAACTGATGTTTACACTAAACCAGAGATTTCATTTAACTGATGTTTACACTAAACCAGAGATTTCATTTAACTGATGTTAACACTAAACCAGAGATTTCAATTAACAGATGTTAACACTAAACCGGGGATTCGAGTCAACAGATGTTAAACACTAAACCGAGGATTTCATTTAACTGATGTTAACACTAAACCAGAAATTTCATTTAACTGATGTTAACACTAAACCAGAGATTTCAATTAACAGATGTTAAACACTAAACCAGAGATTTCATTTAACTGATGTTAACACTAAACCAGAAATTTCAATTAACAGATGTTAAACACTAAACCGGGGATTCGAGTCAACAGATGTTAACACTTTACCAGTGATTTCAGTTAACAGATATTGACTCTAAATCAGAGATTCCACTTAACAGACTTTAACATTAAAACATATATTCAAGTTAACCGTATACGAGGGATTCCTGTTAACAGACGTTACCACTAGACCAGGGATTCCTGTTGGCAGACGTTACCAGTAGACCAGGGATTCCTGTTGGCAGACGTTAC